TATGTACACTATTTACATTATTCGGATTATTATTCTCATCTTTGTCGCCATATTTAGTACAATGTTTCGGCCCTTCAGTATCTGTCTATATTTCTGAGATGAGGTATTATGTACACTATTTACATTATTCGGACTATTGTCCTCAACTTTCTTGCCATATTGATCACAACGTTTCAGCCCTTCAGTATCTGTCTATATTTCTGAGATGAGGTATTAGGTACATTATTTACATTATTCGGACTATTGTCCTCATCTTTGTCACCATATTTATTACAATCTTTTCACCCCTTCAGTATCTGTCTACATTTCTGAGATGAGGTATTATGTTCACTATTTACATTATTCGGACTGTTGTACAACTCATCAGTATCTGGTTATATTTTTGTTGCCAAATTTATTCCTCATCTTTGTTGCCAACGTTTCGGCCCATCAGTATCTGTCTATATTTCTGAGATGGGGTATTATGTACATTATTTACATTATTCGGACTATTATCCTCATCTTTCTTGCCATATATTTCCACGTGCCTGTTTAATGGATGTCAGTTATCAGTTATCTCCTGTTAATTCCCCTCTTCAAGTGCTCAAGGACACATGGCACATTAGATAAAGGCATTAGTTCGATCCAGTGACCGGACTCAAAGAGTGTGAGTTCCATACCTGGTTAAGGCGGTGGGGAAATTGTCCAGTACCATCATTGGGTTTATGTGCATTTCATTCAGTTGAGCCTCAGTTCTGGGGTAAATCGGGGGTGGGTACACCAGATGATATATGTATATAATCATTTTACACCAAACAAGGTGATAATGCCACTAGGATACAAGAGGTTACTGGGAGTGAAAGAGAATTTGTTGACTTTAATGAGAAGAAAGGTCAATAAAAGAATAGGAAGACTGAAGATGAGGGTAACATTTCACTTAATCTTTTGAAGATTGTAGGTGGCTGGGAAACAAGAAAACAGAAAGGATTTCCATAGTCAAGTAAAGAAAATATTAATATAAAACATCCGCTTCCATCTAGGTAGTTCAATAGTAAAACGATAAGACCACGTTGGGAATCAAGGAGCATCCTTAAAATAGTCATGCCACCAAGGAAGAAAAGAAATTATTAATATAGAACATAAGGTTGCATCTATGTAGTTCAATAGTAAACCCATGAGACCACGTTGCTATTCTAGAAGCATCCTTATTTTCATAGTCATGCCACCAAGGAAGAACATAGCCTTGCGTCTGTAGGCAGTGAAATATTTGTTCAATATATTTCTTTTCGTCACCTGAGTATTCTTGGTTACATATTCTATGTTGTCTGACGTAGAATCCTATGACTATTCCTGATTTTATTTTTTGACTATGTTAGGAATCGAATTTAATTACATCGTTTTATGTTAGTGGCTATACGGTAAATACTAAAATCTAATTTCTTATTGTTACGTATCAATAAGATGTCGACGAAAGGTAGAGATTTGTTTATTTCAAATGCGTTTGTGAATTCGGTGATAAGTTCAAAGTTTAGTTTCTTTATTATATCTAATAGATTTATATTGAGAGGATATAATCAAATAACGACACCCATATGGAGTTTTTAGTTAAGATATGTATAAATTGGCCGATTCTAGGAAAAGACATGCAAGGACAAAACTAACAGGTAATCCCATAGGTAAACCAATTTTTTGCTAAACAAACTTTTATTGAAACACAAGTTAAAATTCTATTTCCGATACGAACTCAGTATACACCGGGGTTGATAAGACTGACGAATTATATTTTCATCGGCCGAAATAAGAAGCTTATTCCCCATATGAGGTGATTTTGCATTTTTATTTATATATATATATATATATATATATATATATATATATATATATATATATATATATGGAAGAAATTATACCTGAGTTTACATGAAATGGTTCAAATAATTAATCTCTCAATTAACAGTACCTTATCTATGGCGGAAATTGCTCACTATCAGAAATAGATCATTTGTCGATATAGTCAGTATGGACATAGGAATCAACAGTGCATGCTGACTATCACTTTCCCGCTGTATATGTTTACATATAACCTTTATATAAAAACCTTTATACGGGACTTGAAGAAATCAAGACATTGCTTTTGATAATTCACAACTATTTTCTTTGACATAATTTAAATTAGACCTGCCTACCAATATTCTTGAAAAAAAAAACTTCTAAAGTACTTATTTTTAAAAAAATATTATTATTCAAATTATTTTTACTCCATCCTAAAAGTATCAAATAAAAATGGAATCATCTGAATTGTCCTCAGATTGACAAGCAAACAAGTCTGAAATCTTCGTATTGAATCTTCCGGCGCGAATGTCAAGCATTACAGCATGCCGTTTCCAAAGTGAATTCCTTCACAGTGCTCTTTTTCTCATATACGGTTCCCAACTGACTCTACTATACTATGAAGTCGACAAATCAAAAACAAACGAGTTAAAATTAAAATATAGCGATAATTTAACCATTGCACCCTGTACATATGCAGCCAAAGAAGTTCTTCGCAAACAGTGAGAAATTTTTAGAGAAGCATCTTACCTGATTTTTCCAGCATACTTCTCTATTTTCTACTATAAACACCAAAGACTTACCTAAAAAAAAAATAAAAAAAATAATAGACTTTAGTACTGCGTACCTTATGAATCGTAAAAATGACACAAACATATACAGAAATTGACATGTTTATACATTGTGCAAATGAGAGGCATGCATCGAGTGTGTATATAAGCGTTTTTTTTTTTAATCCAATTGATAAATTGGCCAATTCCATATTCTGGCCAATTCCATATTCTTCCGGTTTGAGTATATGTTCCTGGAAATTAAGAATCTTTTTTATTTCTATCTATGTTTCATGCGTTATGACCTCTGTTCTTTATCAGGAATATATGTCGATCCAGCTAACCCACAGTGAATTCCTAAATAAATCTTTATTTAATTTAAATTGGTGATTTGTTTAGGTCGCTTTTTTAATATTTTGTTTCAACACTCACGGCTTGACGATTGCGTCTAGCATAAAACAGCCTGTCGTCTCTGAGTTTTGACTTCAATGTTCACTTTATATATATATATATATATATATATATATATATATATATATATATATATCATAAATTTACTAATTTAAAAATATGGTTCCATCGCTAAACAGGAATTACCATGTTTCAAAAACAGAAATTAAAAAATTCAAATTCAATTACAGAATTAAACTTCCTAGTTCTGTTTCATTTTCAAGCGAATTTTATAAACACATACATTCTTAATATTAGTTTCTAAGGATATGGGTAAATTCAGTCATGAGCACTGTTTTTTAAAATGAATAAGAACATTGGATTATAAATCTTACTGTTCATTCTCTTTATTTTTAATATATATATATATATATATATATATATATATATGTGTGTGTGTGTGTGTGTGTGTGTGCGCGCGCGCACGCGCGCATTATAAAGGAACAAAGATAATAGTAATTTTAGCCGATGCGTTTCGTCCAGTGTGGACTTTTTCAAGATGTCGTTAGCAACTACAAGAATTTAGAAATGCTATTGTATATTTGTATGATCAACTGAAAAATTACGTTATTTTGTTTTTGAAGAGAATATTTTCACATATAGAAATATTGTTTGTATTGTGTTGATGGATTCAACTATTTTTTTTTGTTTCTTGATATATATATTGTGTACGTTGGCTTGGGAGAATATACAATATACAGTAGCGTTTCTAAATTCTACTTACTAACGACATCTTGTTGTCTAAAGCACTTCTACCCACAAGCATAACAATAATAATTAATATTATTATATATATACATATATATGTGTGTGTGTGTGTGTGTGTGTGTGTAAAAATTTCTCACGATTAACCTGTAGAAAAAGACAGTATGTATTAAGGAAGAAGACGATATGAGAAACTATTGTTTTATCCGAGGCGTTTTGTCCAGTGGCGTCTTTTTCAAGGCAAAATGCGAAATGAATTTATTGAACAAAGTATCTATAAACAACAAACAAAATGTCGTTAGCAACTAGAAAAATTAAGAAACGCTATTCTATATTCATATGGTCAACTGAGAAATTACGTCAATTGCTTTATGTTTGAAGAGAATATTTGTATTGTTGACGGATTCAAGCGTTTTCTTTTGATTTCTTTTATTAATTTGTTTATTGTATAATATTATTATATAGTATTATATTATTTATATATATATATATATATATATATATATATATATATATATATATATATATATATATATATAAAAATATAAAAGACAATACGAAAACTGTACTTTTAGTAGACGCGTTTCATCCAATATTATATATTCTCCCAAGTCAACGTACCCAACAAGTATATCAAGAAATCAAAAGAAAACACATTGGACGAAATGCGTTGGCTAAAACTACAGTTTTCCTATTGTCTTTTTTTCCTTTATACATATTGTCTTTTTCTACAGTTTAATTCTAAGGAATTTACACACACACACACACACACACATATATATATATATATATATATATATATATATATATATATATATAACGCACAGTAACTGTTGGTGGTAATAATAAAACAGTGTTGGTTGTAAAATAATAGAGCTAAAATTTATACTAAGAATATATATATATATTTGTTCCTCAACATAGCTTTACATATGATTCATGCACGATGAAATCGTGAACTGTAGATACACACACACACACACACATATATATATATATATATATATATATATATATATATATATATATAGAGAGAGAGAGAGAGAGAGATGGGTGTGCATTTGTTCCATTTAATCAAGAAAACTTATCTCGAATCTGAACCCTTTCAATTTCTCAGACATTAAATAACTCTGCCTTCATAAGCCAATGTCCCATTTCGATAATTACATTCCCATTTCAGGCTGAACTTTTTGTTTTTTCCGATCTCAAATTTCTGCCATGAAATGTCTGCTAGTTGCAATGTTCTGAAACAGACAACTAATTTTAATGCCTTTCGGGCCTTGTACATTCGGGGCTTCTCTCTCCTGCTGGCGGTGAAACCCAACTGTTGCGCCAGAAATAGTTTTCTTAATCACATTAGCTGACAATTCGATAGCTTCATTAATACGAACTCTCGTCCTATTTGGCCAAAACTGCTGTGGTTTCGGAGCTTGAAAGAAATTGGTTGGTCATATCGTTAAATTCAGATACAACTTCTCTCTGACACAGACTACAAATTTTCAGATCTTTAAGAAAATAAAGAGTCTATTAAAAATATTTTTACAAACTTTGTGGCGGATTCCTCACACAAAAACAAGGATAAAAATCCACAAAATACACACACGTTCGCAAATCCTTATTAATTTTAAGTTAAGTTATTAACTTTAAAGTTTACGGTTCTTCTTCGCCTGGCTTCGCAAACGAATGTTTATGAAGTGGGCTGTCCACGTCGACTTTAGACACGCTGATGCCCGACTAAGCCGATGCACAGCGCCTGCAATTAAAGGTCTGGTCGGCTATAGCTGCTGCGGCTTCCTTCCTAATGTAAATAGTGTACATAATACCTCATCTCAGAAATATAGACAGATACTGAAGGGCCGAAACGTAGTGATAAATATGGCGACAAAGCTGAGCGTGGGGTTTCTCCTTCGAAGTTTACGGTAGACGCTGTTAAACGTATAATCGGTCTTCCTCGAGCCATAGTTTGTGGTGCCATGGATATTGTCTCAGCAACGTCGCGATAATATCATTTGATAAAAAGTATATCATTTGATAGACATCGCCTGAGGATACCGTAAAGTTGACGGTTAAAGGTAACGGATTCAACTGATCACCTGATTTTTTTAAATTAAAAGCTCTACATATTCACACGTTTATTGAGCACATTTTAATACCACTGCTTTTTGGTCTGATTCAACTCTAACCATTAAACTTTTTGTATATATATATATTTATATATATATATATATATATATATATATATATATATATATATATATATATGGTTCGTTTAAATACTTCAGCTAGTGTTTATCTGTAAAAGAACAATATCAATAAAGACAAAAAAGAAAACGTATCTTATCCGAAGCGTTTTGTCCTCTAAGGGACTTTATCATGGCGAGGATTAAATTTTGAAGTAAATATCTATATACAAGAGGAAAAATGTTATCGCATCTACCTTGATAAAGTCCTGCAGTGAACGGAACGCGTCGGGTAAGAGAAGTTTTCCATTGCTCAGTCAGGAAGCCATAGTGGGTCAGACACGAAATGATTTTAACTTGTTCTCTATCTGAGTTACTCAAAGGTTATTTTTCAATTATTTTTACGACTAATACTGTCAATTAGTTTGTTTTTTGTTGTTTTTTTTTTAGTTTTTTTTTAGTTGTTAAACATTTTGTGGGATGGACAATTATCCCATGCTGTTACACGATTTGGACAATTTTGCTGTTACACACGCTATGTCTGTATGTGTGAGTGTGTGCCGGGGGTGACGGTGTATGTTACTGTTATGTCTCAGGGAATATTCAATTTTGTGGTTAGTTCTAGATCTCCTGAGATAATATGGTCAACGGTTTCATCATATTTTCCGCAGGTCCTGCATTTTAGGTCAGTGTCATCTTTGGTTTGGCTTGGTTTGACTTATGTTTTAGAACATATCAACCTCAATTGGTTATTTAATGCCGACAAAATTTTTATTGCTGGTAATATGTTTTTCATCGAAAATCTATTTCTGGGAATATTTTTCCTTGAAGAAATCTAGAGCTGGTTATATTTTTTTTTAAAGATTGTATAACTGTTTGCATTGATGATTTTTTTTTAAAGTATTGCTGATAATAATTTTTCCTTCAAAAATAATAATTTTTTTATTACAAAGTATTTTGGGTGCTGACTATTTGCCCATAGCTGGGACCCTAACAGGTTCTACCACCCCGGGTCAGGGTGGACCTTGGAACACCAGCAATTAAGAGGTGGTTCCTCGCTCCTCAAAACCTCCTGATCAGAGGCCATGCTGTTGGACGTAGTTTAACGTCTTACCTAAGGCGCGGAAGTAGTTTATCGTCATACCCAGGACGACAGTGTCATTCTTGATTATGTGATAGTGATAGGATCTGATTGCATGGCTTTGGTTTTTATTATGTATATTGTTATTTCTTTTCCGTTCTTTAAGGGGTGATTACACGAAAGCTTTGTAAAGCAAGGTAGTAAAAGTAATGTGTCTGGTGAGAAGATTTTACCTAGAAATCCTAGGTATATTTTTTAAATGCATATTATTTCAAGAGAACGATATCTCTCCAAAGATTCCATTTCTTCATTATCCGAGAATTGCGATATGGTTTAATCATTAGCACCCTGACCATTAAGAGGTAAGGAAGTTACCGAGTGTGAAAGAATGAGAGAAAAACAAGGACATAAGGGGGAGGGGAGAACAATAAGAAACAGAAATTAACGATTGACATTGCATTTAGATTTTTGAAGAACAAAGTTAACTGGAAAGCAAAAGACCGGAAGAGAGTTTTCAAGTGAGAAGTGCGAGAGAAGAAAACGTTAGCATAGAACTTACGGTTACATGTATAATTTCAACTATAAAATAATCAGACCTAGCTACCTGTCTAATTCGTAAACCCAAACATTAAAATTCATCAGAACAATTACCTTGAAAATATTTTAAGAGGAGACCCCATTACGATAATTGAAAATTAACTAAAGCAGATATGCCCGAGCCAGGGTTGTTAATATTGCAGATTTTTCTTTGGATTTTATCAAGAATCTCCAAATACATTGGCATCATCATTCTTCAACCTGCCTATGGTTGGTCGGAACGCCATTGACAATACCTTTCCGCAATGTTCGGTCCTGTATTGCTGTCCTCAGATCTTCAACGTCCAATCCTGAGTCCCAAACGACAGTCTGAGAAAATCAGTTTTCTCCGTGAAGACACTTCCAGAAGGATGCTATAAGAGTAAGGATGAGATGACCTCCCCGTCCGCTCGGTGGCAGTGGGCGGCAAATTGCAATCGTTTTTGTTTGAGCTTAATAGAAATTGGTCTCAATTCTCTCTAAATTATGTTGCATCCAACTGATGTTCTGGATTTTTCTAAGCAGATTATTGTTTCATCCAGTTGTCTTTTAAGGCGAAAAGATAATGTTCAAGTTTCTGATCCATACAGTAGGACTTGTTAATTAATGTTAAAAAGGATTCGACTTTTAAAGAGGATCGAAGGTTCGAGTACCAAATCTTGTGAAGTTTGTTACACGCAAAACATACAAGAGATCTGCGGAGGTTGAAGTCTTTTTGGGAATCTATTATGTGAGATCCAATATATTTGAAGTCCTCAACTCGTTTGATGAATGTATTATTGAGTGACTTCAACGTGGATGGTTCAGAGGAGGTTGTGATATATTCTATCTTACTTGCGTTAAAATAGAGTCCTACCTCTTTGGCTGCTTGCTCGAGCGATTGCAGCAAGGATTCTGCATTCTTGATATATTGAGAAAGACCATCGGCAAAGTCAGGGTCTAAATACATAGTAAAAGCACCAGACACTGTGTGACAAAAATATTCGTAAGTCTTCCTGGAAAAGGTTAGTCTGTAATGTCATGCGTGATACACGCATAGGCGATCATTTATCTTTCGATACATAACACAGGAGGCAGATTTTTTTCCCGCAGTAGGTTGCCATTTATTTCTTCGGTAGACCAGTTGCCATCAAAATTGTGGAACCCGGTCTGTCCTGCTATTTACCCATAGCTGGGGGAAAAGAGAAAACATTTATATCTTTCCCAATGGTATTAGCACGTAAGTTAACGTGACGGATTCGACTGGAATTCGAACTCGGCTCTCCGATTCCTCAATCCGAACTGCTATCCATTACTCCATGGAGTAATAACATCAGCACTATCCGTTTTTATTGGGTCTTTGGAATGATACTAAAATGAGCAAACAAATATGTGAATGAAATTCCTGGCAGCCCTAAAAATAAAATATGGGAATTGCAAAAATAAGAAAACAGACAGACGGACACACGTACACGGCTTTATTTATATATAGATTTATTTTATTAATTTTCTTTCTGTTTCGTTGCCTTTCTACGTTTCTTTATGTTTACCTTTTCTTACTTTGTATCTGTCCATCTTTCTTTCATTGTTCGTTCAATCACTCTCTTTATTTCTATATTATTCATTATTTATTTCTACGTTTTTGTTCTATCTATCTATCTATCTATCTATCTATCTATCTATCTATCTATCTATCTATCTATCTCAGTCTGTTTATATCTATCTCAGCCTATTCATATCTATCTATCTATCTATCTATCTATCTATCTGAATCCGTTCATTATCTGAATCTAGTTCATTATCTATCCATCTATCTAGCTATTCTATCTATCTATCTATCTATCTATCTATCTATCTATCTCAGTCTCTTCATTATCTATCTATCTAGCTATCTATCTATCGCAATCACTTCATAGCTATCTATGCTTCTATCTTAATTACACCGTATCTATCTATCTATCTATCTATCTATCTATCTATCTATCTATCTATCTATCTCATTTTCTTCATTATCTATCTATCTATCTATCCTTTCTTTTCCTTTCCTTATTTCTTTTATTGGTTCATCTATGCTTTTTTTTCTTTTTTCTATCTTTTTTTTTTGGTCTTTCTAAAATTCGTTCCTGCTTTTTTTCTACGCCTTTCTTTCTTTTTATCTTTTACTTTCTTTCTTTCTTTCTTTTTTCTTTCTTTCTTTCTTTCTTTCTTTCTTTTTATCTTTTACTTTCTTTCTTTCTTTCTTTCTTTCTTTTTTTCTTTCTTACTTTCTTTCTTTCTTTTTATCTTTTACTTTCTTTCTTTCTTTCTTTCTTTCTTTCTTTCTTTCTTTCTTTCTTTCTTCCAGTCTTTTTACTTTGTCGCTTTTTTCTATTGTTTTATTTCTTTCTATTCTTCTTTTGTATTTTCTTCTTTCTTTCTATCTTTCTTCCTTTGCTTCCATTTTTCATTTTACCTTTTTTTTAAAAAAAACAAAGAAGTCTTTTATAAACAACAACAACAAAAAAATTTATGAGTATTCTTTATCTTATCCGTATTTCTTTATTAATAGACAACGGGACGTGATAAAAATACTTATCTCGATCGTGCTTGGTTCATTTTATTCCTCCCTATTGTACGATTTTCTTTCTCTTCACTTAAATTAATGTCAACCTCGTACGCCTCAGCCCCTGCCATCACACTTCGCATACGAAGTTGTTTCAAGGTGTGTTCTTTGCCGTAGGCCTGTATAACGACAGTCAGATTAGCACGTTGATAGATGTGGAGCGGTGAGAATTCAAAATACATTTAGCGTCTTGCTTATATGTATAAAAATGATTGCATTACGATAAAAAAGGTTGCCATGACCTGGTGTTTAGGTATTTGCTCTTCTTTCAAGCTTGATTTACCAGAGACTGACATCATATTAGAAACTCTATTTCCTTAATATTTATGATTTATTAAATTATTATTTTCCATTGTCCGTCATTAGAGAGCGTTTGATACACTCCGCCATTACCTCAGATAAATAATACGCCATTCTGTTTTGATTACGAGGAAAGACAGAAAAATAGAAGATACAACAGAAATATCTCCCACATAGAGGTTAGATATGGCAATATGTCTTCATCTAGCTAATGTGTTACCATTATGTAGGAGGTATTTCTGAGGGGTATTATCTTATTTGGTAGTTTTTATCCATTTTGAATCTATTCATTTGTACCCCCTTATTTCTTTAAAAGAAATGAAACCTCATTCATATACTTATGATTATTATTTCCATATTTCATTAAAGTAGTTAAGCTGAACATTTGAATTCCCAGGGGTATTTTGTAGTTGTAAAACTACTAATTAATAATTTCTTTAAAATTTCAAATAACAAAATCGTAAAAAAAATCACGGGTACACCCTTGTTCAAATTAATTAAAACAACCGCTCTAGTTTCCTTTCTTTCACCATACAGTCAGTTTAAAATCCATTGGAATGACAGGGTGTAATTTCTATTTTTTTCCTCCGATTGGGTCATTTGCAGTGGTGTGCAGTAATAGAAATGTGTTTTTGGAGTGTGTGATGAAATTTGTTTGGCCTTGCAAAATATTGTGTCATCCGTGATTGCATCAGCTTTTTGTCACGCCCAGACACTATTGTCTAGGCTCTCGATTAGTTGTCCTACGACGATTTTCTGTAATGGACGTTACTTCAAGGAAGCGCAAGAAAATTGTAACGCTGCTCGAACACACTGGCAAACCTTACCAGTAAGCAAACCAGAGTACTAGAGACTGGCCCGGAAACTCTCCTGATTTGAATCCTATCGAGAATCTGTCGCCAATCTGCGACTTTGTGGAATGGACATACGAAATACTAACATGTACACTGGCTGTGTTTCATTAGAAAAATATGAAAAAAATAAATAATAACGGAATTATTCCTTTTGTTTCAATTAATTTGCATATGGTTGTATTTCTTGGATTAGAAATTATTATTAGTTGTTGATTAATATTTTTTTTAATTAAAACTCTATTTTACGAAAAGAACACTCAATTTGGTGCAAATAAATCCCTTCCTGTTTCTGCAGTGCACCAATGACAAAAGACCACCAAATAATGTTTAAGAAAGGTAGAAAAATATATTTAAAAAAAGAAGTAGAAAAATATATTTAAAATAACATTAGCCTTATGCAGGTTTCAAACCTGGCATTATTAATTAATTATGCATAGTTTCAAACCTGGCATTATTAATTAAAACAAAATACATATAAGGCAGCTGTCGATTTGACAATGTATTGATATTATAAAGAGAACTGACTTCCAAATTGATAAAACATCAATATTTTCTTTAGTGGACGTCTAATAAAATCTAATCCTTATACATGATTGCGCGGTTCCCTTATTTATCCAATTTCTTTAAGTGTGGGTCCCTCAATTTAAGTAATACCCAATATTCATACGTTGAGGAACCCAGACGTCAAGTTCTGATTTTCTAAGCGTAGCTTAGATGTGACACAAAGCCGTAAGTACTGGGCACCCAGCGAGGATCGAACTCACTATTCAGTCATAATCTTCTATCCAGACAAGCTCGCCAACCATTACACCACGTCTAGGTGCCCTATAAAAAATCCAGAGGCCCTCAACTGATGGAGTAAATCTACAGTGATTTCCTAAGCGTAACTTAGTTGTGACACAAGGCCGAAAGTATGGAGCACCCGGTAAGGATCGAACTCACTACTCAGTCGCGTTTGATTTAGCGAGACAAGCTTGTTAACCCAAACGCCAAATATGTAAAATAAGAGTTGAATATGTGAATAACAAGTACGTTATATAGATTTTGGAATTTCCCTTTTTGGTGAGGCCGAGAAATTTACATCACCACCTATAGACGTGCGCAAGGGTATTATGAAATGCATTGAATCTAAATTCTTTATTAAACATTGTTAATTCTGAATAAAATAATATTTAATATACAACCCTGTATGTCATCAGTGTACTATATAGTTATGTTGGATTCTGAGTACAGGAGAGACATGTAAAAAGATCAGTTGGTGGGGGGGGGCACAAACCCCTTGCCTGAAAATTGTTCCAATATTTCTACTAAAATGAAACGTCGTAAATCTTCCTACAGCCCAGCTGAACTGCCAGACACTCGAAATACTATGAAGAAAAATGAATTTTCTCCTCAATATTTTCTTTTCTTACTTGAAGATATCATTACTAAATCCTATTATGTATGTGTTCCATGGTCAAGTTCACAGCAGCATGACGTGTACGTAGTTGGCCACGAGGACAAAAAAAAAACTTGTACGTAATCACGTGACTAATTACATGTCGTGTCTTCTTTTAAACACATCATATCAACGAATATCGTCTGATGTCCTTTGATCACGGCAACCATGACCATATTTAGTCACATAACTTTAGCGAATATATACTAGATAATATGACGCTTACTTTCAAGTATATATCACTTAAGAATATCTCACGTTAGGCGTCTTTTATTTTTACCGTGGAATTGTAATATTCCTTCCGATCAAGCTATTTCAATGGGGAGTTGACGTCGCTAAAGTGCCAAGGAATGCTTCGTTCTCTGTAAAATCACCCTCCCAATATATATATATATATATATATATATATATATATATATATATATATAGTTTCAACTGAATTCATTTGTCGTATTAATAAAAACACTAATGGCATGTGCTCTGCTGCTACTGAGCTTTCTTTTAATGACATTATGTTACTAACTACCAAAAACACGTCCTTCGATCACATCAACCATCACTATCTTCGTAAATGTGGCATTCTATAATATATTACAGTTACTAAGGTTCACTGAATTAAACGTCGTTAAACTGAGGTTAAGAATTTCGCGTTAATTAGAGGCATCGCGGGAATTCTGTATTGCATGAATGTAAAATTTCCCAGCGACTGTTTTAGAAAGATATTGACTGAATACACTGTTGAGAATTGTTTTTGTTTTTGCACTTATTAAATATATACTTAGCGAGTGGCGCGATCGTCACTAAAAAGGAAAAGAGGAAGCAAAATCAAATTCTAGCGACACAGTTAAAAACTTTTGCGAGAAGTTTTTTTCTGGCGCGGCATGAGCACACTTTTCCCTTTGCTTTGCTGCATCGTCAGATACCTTTAAAAAACGTCACGCTGCAAGCAATCATTGTAGAGAGATAAGATATATTTAACCATATATTTAACTAGGATGTTTTTATTAAATTTTTTTGTTCTAACTTAATGTGTAAATTTTAACGTATGCATCTATAATTGCCTCATCCACATGTAAAAAAAAAGACTAAAAATAATGGAAGCATTGATATTAAAATGAAAAATACAACTCTATAACATCAACTATGAACACGGTCGCAATGTGCTGACCGTGTTTGGAAAATAAAAAATTCAATAACTCTAGATACATATATAAAAATGAACACATCCAGTTAGAATTAAAAATTAAAAAAAAACATCCTTCATAATGGCTAAAAGTATTGCCGAAAGCTCGAACAATTTTGAGACAACTTATGCCCAGAAAAGAAAAAAAATCATACGAACACAAAGTTAAATAAAAATTTTATTGCAGTACCTTATCAGTCGTCTTTAATGAAACGTGTATAAAAGAAGGATTGCTGCCTAAATGCCCAATTACATATACACAATACATATTTCAATTTGACCGTTTATATGACGCAACCTTGACTGATTTCAAATTGATTCCATCATACAAGAGAAATGCTGGAATTAAAAACCAGTTGCGTCATTATGCAGAGAAAAATCCTTGAAAACGAATGGAACAACATTCGAAAGTCCTCGGGAAATACTAGAATTCATATTAACTTTTGTTTTTTTTACATTATGTAAAATAAATCTTAATATGAATTTTGGAAAATTTACCGAAAAAACAAAACTACTTTGAAAGATTTAATTAAAATAATTGGTAACAAGAACTTTTCCATAAACATGATTTAATAGACCGATTACTGAAGAATAAAAAAAACAAAAAATAATAATAATGATAAATTATTTACATTATTCGGACTATTGTCCTCATCATTATCGCCATATTTATCACAAAGTTTCGGCTGTTGTACGCTCCGGCCTTCTTCAGGTGGTTGGAATGTCGAACTGAACCCTTTATTTCGCTCACTGGGGTAGACTGTTCTAGTTCCACGTTCCATGTTTGATGGATGTCAGTTATTTGTTATCTCCTGTTAATTTCCTTCTCAAAATTCTCCACTGCCTTCACCGGTTATTGAACTCACACTATTTGGGTTCTGTCACTGGATCTAACCAACGCCTTTATCCACTGTGTGGAATAATGTAAATAATGTACATAATACTTCATCTCAGAAACATAGACAGACTCTTGTGATAAATATGGCGACAAAGATGAGGATAATAGTCCGAATAATGTAAATAATGTACATAATACCTCATCTCAGAAATATAGAGAGACTCTGAAGAATGATGATATTTTGTGTATATTAGCGTTTTAACTAAACACAAAGTGAAAGTTTTTGAAGTCGGAATTTTCGGAAACGCCTGTGTTCTTTTTCAACGAGACTTAGGATAAACAACGAATGGAAATCACACTTCCAAAGAATGCTGTTTTTTGTTATAGGGCTCCCTCTAGGAAACTATATTCTCTGATTAAACAAGGATTTGGATTTACTGATATATATATATATATATATATATATATATATATATATAAGAGAGAGATATGCTATCGGA